CCCTTGTGCGACCTCCTCGTCCTCCCTCGTGGCCCCCTCCTCCCGCTCGCACAAACTCCTCCCCCTAGCGTGACCTCCCCCTCCGACTGGTGTGACCTCCTTCTCCCCCTCCCGCACGACCTCCTGCAACCTTTCATCCCAGCGTGCGACCTGCTCCTACCCCTCCCATGACCTCCTCCTCCCCTGTGCACAACCCACTCCCCCCCCTCTTCGAACCTCCTCCTCCCCTTCACGGGACCTCCTCCCGTCCTTGCGCAACCTGCTTTTCCCCCTTGCACATCGTCTTCCGACCTCCTCCTCCCCGTCACACGACGTTCTCCCACCTCTCTTTTGAACTCCTCCAGCTCCTCCTCCTCCTTGCACGACCTCCTCCTGACCTCTCACGTGTCCTCTTTCGACCTCCTCATCCCGCTCGCGCGACCTCCTTCCACCTTCCTTCCGACCTCCCCACAACCTCCTGCAACCTCTCGTCCTCCTCGTGCGACCTGCTCGTCTCCCTCGCACTACCTMCTCCTCCCCCTTGCACGACCCACTCCTCCCCCTCTTCCGACCTCCTCCTCTCCCTTGTGCGACCTCCTCCTAGGCTCCTCCCCCTCTTGCGACCTCCTGCTCGTCCTTGCACGACCCGCTCCTCCCCCTCACAYATCGTCTTCCAACCTCCTCCTCCCCCTCGTGCGACCTCCTCCTACCCCTCGCGCGCCCCCCTTCTCCCCCTCGMGCGACTTCCTCCCCCTCTTCTGACCTCTCCCTTGCTCGACCTCTTCCTCCCCCTCACACAACGTCCTCCTAATCCTTGTGTGACCTCCTCCCCTCACGCGTCCTCCACCCACCTCCTCATCCCCCTTGCACAACCTCCTCCTCTTCCTTCCCCTCGCGCGACCTCCTTCTACCCCTCGCACGACCTCCTCCTACCCCTCGCGCGACCTCCTCCTACCCCTCGCGCGCCCCCCTTCTCCCCCTCGCGCAACTTCCTCCCCCTCTTCTGACCTCTCCGTTGCTCGACCTCTTCCTCCCCTCACACAATGTCCTCCTAATCCTTGTGCGACCTCCTCCCCCTCACGCGTCCTCCACCCACCTCCTCATCCCCCTCGCACGACCTCCTCCTCCTCCTTGTCGTGATGTCTGCTTCCCCCTCGCATGACCTCCTCCCACCTCTCTTTCGACCTCCTCCTCCTCCTTGTCGCGACATCCGCTTCCCCCTCGCACAACCTCCTCCTCCTTGTGCGACCTCCTCCTCCCCCTTGCACGATGTCCTCCTCCCCCTGGCAACCTCTTCCCTACATCCTCTCCCCTCCTCCATGAATTCTCGTCGTCTGCTATGCTTATCGTCCTCCTCCTTTTTGTCCCTCTTTCTCCTTTTGTTCCATCCTCCTCCTCTTTCCTCCATTCTCATCGTCCCCTCGCTCCTCCTCTTTTTCGTTGTTCCTCCTCGTCCTCGCTGCTCCTCATGCTGCCTCCTTTGTTTCGATCGGCCCACACATGCTTCTCCCTCTTCATCCTCCCTCTTTCTTCCACCCTTCCTGCTCTGAGGACACACGTGCCACCTGCCCCAAATGTCATGTCTTTCTCTCTCTTCCTCCTCCCTCCTCCTGCGTTGATCCTCCCTCCTCCATCACATCTTTCCATCGCCACCGTTTTCCATATCGACGCGGCCCCCGCCCGGCACCACGGACTGGCGGGAAACAGAACTGAACGGGGGGGTTGAAAGAAACACCGTGGCAGCGGGGAACAGGACTTCGTGTCCTCCCGACACTGCAGAGCGGGGCGTGTCGCGTGGAACCGCCACACCGAATTTCCCTCACTCCCGCCCGCAGTCCCGCCATGAAATGCCGCAGCCGATTTACCTTGCCCCAGTCCCGCCCGCCTCCACACCAAATTTCGTTGGGCAAGGCGGGAAGCGTCACGCTGGGCCCTTTGCATTCTTTAAGAGTATAGGGATTTTACGATTTTACTATTTTAGGGAAGTTCTTCTCCTTTTTCTTTTCTTTTTTTGCTTTCTTGAGTGCACACCCCATTACCATTTTCACAATGCCTCCAGCGCAAACGAAGAGACATGCTGAATTGTGTGAAGTCGTAAACATTAAAAAGCTGTAACAAAAAAAATTCCCAGAAACAGTCACTTCTTTTGTTTTCCCTTTTGCGTGACTGCATTTTATACACAACAATGATGCATATGACTCAATCGATCGACCTTTTTCAATTACAAGCAATTAAACCGATTTAAAAAAATAAAATAAAACTTTATAAAGGATCAATGATACATACTCCGCCAGTTGTCCATAGCAGAGATGTTGAGCTGACCCACATCATTGTCCCACGAAGCGCGAGAGGAGAATGACGGGACAACAGTCCCTGTAGAGCTGTGCGATTCTGTGCCTGTGCCTGTGCCTGTGCCTGTGCCTATGCCTGTGCCTGTGCCTGTGCCTGTGCCTGTGCCTGTGTCTGTGCCTGTGCCTGTGCCTGTGCCTGTGCCTCTGCCTGTGCCTGTGCCTGTGCCTGTGCCTGTGCCTGTGTCTGTGCCTGTGCCTGTGCCTGTGCCTGTGCCTGTGCTATCCGATAGCCGCACACTGTCAGTACTCCCCAGCAGAGCATCGCCTTCCTCCTGTAGAATGGTAATAAAACCATCCTTTGTCCAGTGATCAATTATTTCAGCCTTGCGGTTCCGAAAAATCTCCTGCATGCACAACCAAGGGGAAAAAAAAAATTAGGCTCTCAAAAAAGTTGAAGAAACATTGGGAGGGAGGGGAGGACGGGAGGGGTTTGAGTGGGCAAGAAACAAAGGCACACATTGTGCACACAATTAGAAAAAAAAATCCGGCAACGTCGAGCTTGGTCAACCTTGCTGAAATATCTATGTGCATCTCACTTTAGGAAACTTCCCCCTGACTCCTCCAGCGCCTAACCCCCTCCCCCCCGCTCCCCCCCGCTCCCCCCCCTCCT